TCAAACAAGCTTGCCAAAGATAACATGTGTGAGAAGGTGGCTTCAGAGATGCAAAACATGGCACAACATGGCACAACATGACACAACATGATACCCTCTGGTAAACTAACATATCTATGGAAAATCACAATTGTTCATGGGAAAACTCACTATAAATGGCCATTTTCAATAGCAAACTGTTAGTTTACCAGAGGGTAGAACATGTGTACATGCAACAAATTCATTCAAGGCTGTGAACCGTAGGAACCAGAGCCAGGGCATGTTGTGGCGATGTTGAGTTTCAAGCCGTCTTCTTTTGGGCTACCCTGTTCATTACTGGTTGGTGGTGCAATAACCATCTTGAAAAATATGAGTTCGTCAATTGGGATCATGACATTCCCATACATTATGGAAAAATTGGAAAATAAAAGCCATGTTCCAAACCACCAGCCAGTAATTGGTAAACATCCCATTGTCTATAGGGTTTCAACCATCGTTTAGGTTGGTTTGAGGGAAAAATCAATGTTCAATATATTTAATGAATCTTCACCCACAGAAATCATGGAGATTCACTGATTCAATGGTTCTCGACGGTTCATCAGACTGGAGATTTCTTTTTCAGGATATCCGCCATGACCAAAATGACGAGCCAAATACACAGGGGCGCCAATCATGACAGGCAAATGGGTTCATAACTATGCTACTGAATGGATGTATGGTGGATGTATCAATCCAGTTGGATGTTTTCTTTTCGAATAATGGAACATGCATCGACAGATACGTCGCAGTTATAGCCAGTTGGATAGTGGATATGCCATGATATGTATGCTTTGAGTTGCTTTGATGGATCCATAAATGGATCCATAAACCAAAAAACATCATCAAACATCCACATTCCTGTACCATTCACCCCTCACCTCCAAGTCAGTGCCTGCAAACTCCCTCTTGTAATAGACCTGACCAGCGCCGCTGGAAACGCACGACATGATTCGTGGTGGATGTCGTGTTCAGCTTACTGGAGATGCCGTAGGAATTTCCCTGGCAGCCAGGGTATGCCAGGGTACCCAAACGGTAAACGTTAACGAACTGGAAAATCACCGTTCATGGGTAAATCAACGATTTATGTCATGCCATTTTCAATAGCATTAAATGTTAATTAGTTACCAGGGTGTAACATCAACAAATCTGCCCAGACTTTTCTGGTTACCCCGAAAAATGACCCAAACCGGCACGACGAAAAAGCTGACTTTTCCGGCTCCCTCGGGGTCCATGGCACCGGCTCGGTGGCGGGCACACATATTTTTCCAGGCGGTTTTGAAGGTCGATTTACCAACGTCCCAACGAAGAGTACCCTCTGGTAATTTAACATAACTATGGAAAATCACCATTGTTTATGGGAAAATCCACTATTTCTATGGTCATTTTCAATAGCTATGTTAAATTACCAGAGGGTAGCACACTTCCCGCGTAATTTCTGTGTTTCTGTAAACTTCATGTGTTGAAACCATTGTTGGAATTCTGAAAAGATGGGTTACATCGAAGAAAAGGAATCAAAACACACTCTATATTGCTTCCATCTCAAGTAGACACCAGGGGTCTTGGCAATTTGGGGCTTAGGGATTGCTTACCGAAGAAAAGAAATTCGCTTCAGGATTCCCATTCCCATTTTGACATTGTCAACATATGTCAACATGTTATGGCCGCTGACTGCCTCTCACGGACTCACGGACCCAATCTCTCTAAAGAATACCCTCTGGTAATTTAACATAGCTATATTGAAAATGACCATTTATAGTGGATGTTCCCATTAAGAATTGTGATTTTCCATAGCTATGTTAGTTTACCAGAGGGTAAAGAACATGCGCCCCACACCTGGTTTAAAGTCATCAAATCTGTGCTGAACATGTTGCTAATCAAAACCCTGGGACCCTTCCCGAGCTGGCGTAGCTACCAATCGAACGGCAAGAGATGGCAAGAGTCAGTCGGGAATGCAATGGTTTTCTGGAGGTTTCCTAAAATGGGGGTACCCCCAGTCATCATCCATTTCTAGATGGGATTTTCCATGAACTAAACCATCCAGCGATAAAGGGTACCCCCATGACTATGGAAACTCCGTTCTTGGCCCTTGAGACATCAAAACAACGCAGAAAGATTGCCTCGCCAAAACCACCTGAACTGTGTTGTGTTGCGCCAGGTGCATCTTCTGTGCAACCACTCGCTAACAATCCATGCCCGTGAACGAAGTGCTGAGAAAACACAGACGTAACCTGCAGACATTTGAATTCAACACATAAACAGTAAGATGCCAACCAGATGCCAACCAAATGCCAATCAAATCAAGACTTGAGTTGATTTCAATAAAATCAGAATATAATATATATATATATATAATATTACATACAGTATATTATACAATATAGACTGCCAAAACAACCAATGGGGTCATTGGCCATCCTCTGCATCAAACCGTTGCACTTATGAGCCCATGGACTTCAGATTGGGACTTGATGCACAGGCATGGATTCTGTTTCAGAGTGAGCAATGCCCAAGACAACGGCTATACTACATGAGTCAAACTTCTGTATTCCTGGGGCCGAATCCAATTCCTCGGCAAGACGGAGCATCTGCAACTTCACCAATCTTACATCTGTCCTAGGTCCGAAAAATGATGGTTTCACCCCCACTGAACGATATGGGTCAGTCTGGATCATCCTACAATTTCAAGGATTGAACATCAAAAAAACATGAAACATGCTGAAACCATCAAAATAGAAACAAAAAACACACAGAGTCACAGGTTTTCTTGTAAATTGGATCAGTGTAAAGAACAACAATCACTAGCAGAAATCCATCTTTCTTTAGGCCTCATGTCGCAGCAGGATCAATTAATTGTCACTATATGTCACATGCTGGAAGCTGAAAGAGTCAAAGGAATATGTTTAATTTTGTGTTTCATTGTTACCCATAGGATCCACGTATGGTATATATGCTAACATTGGGGATATATTGATGGTAAATGTTACCATATATACCATACATGGATCCTATGGGTTATTACATTCTATATTCTATTGTAAACTAGTGAACTGTAACGAATGGAACTTACAGGTTGTAAACATTCGTTATGGTAAACAAGTGCCATTAGTTCCATCCAGTTTACTAGTTACTAATGGCACATTTTTCAAACGTGTCCGTTGTTTGTAACTATAATAGAACAGTTCAGTTTGTAAACACCATTACTAATGGAAAAAATGATGGTAAAGTTACATTGTGACTATTACTATTACTATTGTTATGGTAAACAATTCCAAAAAACCAATGGAAAAAATTGGAAAAGCCGTGCCACTTCACTTCACTTGGCACCTCTCACATCTTCCATAACGACATGTGCCGGTTAAATCGCCATTTTTCTAGCCATGGCTGGGGAGTTAAAAGCGGTGATTTCTATGGTGATCAATAGTGGTTAATAATGGTTAATAGTGGCTAATAGTGATTAATGATGGTGAGTTATAACTGGTGATTTTGGGCACTGTAACCAAGGATTCAATCAAGAGTTGGAGCACATTACCCACCCAGGTGACTTTGGGGCTTCAAAATAAATCCAATTTGGTGAAAACCAGCCATGCAAGAATCGAATCTCTTGGTCTGCCGTCCAGCCGGTGCGATTTTTGAGGCCCTGCTGTCTTCACCAAACATGGCCGGGTTGGTGGTTCCATCCGCTGTCTTTGGCCTACGAAACTGTGACTGTGAACTTTAGACACGAAACAACGAAAGCCGGTGGAAGGAGACAAATTGCGTGATTTCTGGTTCGTGTCCAGCATGAAAGCTCCCCAAATTTTGGAGACCGAATTTGGCACAGGGATAGATATATATATGTATAATATATGAATATGTATAATATTTATATATATATATATTAAATGTATCACCTAATTTTCTTATGGGCACTTGCAGGGTCTAGGAATAACCGATACCTAAATGTCCATTATATCCTCTGTTGAGTTTATACCTGCATGTGAGTTGGCCAATGCATCCATTATTGTAATTGCATGTAATTGCCGTATATCCCATATATCTGTGAAAATTACCATAATTACGAAATTGCATATATCCCATAATATCCATTAATTGGAAAACTATCCCATATATCCATATATATCCCATATGTAATTGCCATTATATCTGTGAAAATTACCATATTTCCCAAACCAGATTGCTTTGGCCGGGATGATTTCCCCAATCCTAACCATCACCTATGGATACCTATGGATATCTATGGTGAGGTCAAATGAGGTCGCTATAATTTAATATACACAGTATGGTTATAGAATCCCTTCCTTCTGAAATCTTGGATATGTAGGGGGTTGGAAATCATATGTGGGACAATACAATATGTGAATTACCATATATCCCATATCATATACCCCATGGATCCAAATCCTTCTTAGGAAATATATGGGGTATGATTACGGGGGTCGAGTACCTTCTCAGGACGGTCGACCCGATCCATAAGGAAAAAAAAGGTATGACTATGAGATATGAGACATAACTCAAAATTGTTTACCCTAATTCTTACTATACTACATGGTCAACACTAAAAATCTAATTTTAACCATGGTATATAATAATACTAACATATGTGAAAACCATGGATAAAACGAAAAAAAAAAACTTAGACTAAACTCTGTGGTCTGCGGGGTCTTAACTGTTCACCCATTCGCATACCATCTACTTGCAACATCTTCCTTTTTGCAACCACAGGATGGGCAAGTCGTCCCCGTTAATCATCATCAATCACTACTAATCACTGGTTGGTGGTTTCAACCCCTCTGAATAATATGAAAGTCAGTTGGGATGATGACATTCCCAATAGAAATGGAAAAATAAAAATAAGGTTCCAAACCACCAACCAGTAATTGGTTTATCCCATTATTTATAGGGTTTCAACCATCCTTTAGGTTGGTCTGAGGGAAAAATCAATGTTCAATATATAGGGATCATCATTTGTCATGGCGCCACCAACCAAAGCCGACTGCGTTTCGACACATCAACGACTGGTGGATCCAAAGCGGCCGCGCTCACTGGCCGTTGGCGAGCCCCTGTGTGGGCCAAAGCATGCGAAAGCTGGGAACCAGGATGAAACCAGACCGGTTCCAATGGAACTTCTATAAATGGTGTTTCAATGGTGTTTCAATGGAACTTCTAACTAAGAAAAACATTATGTTTCAATGGAAAATCTTCTATAAATGGAAGTTCTAATGGGAAACTCATCTATAATTTCAGGAATTCAATGGGAAATCATTCGTGTGATTGAATGTGAAACAAGGATGTAAAATGATGTAAACCCATTGGCTGACAATTGAAATTCATCCGTATATATAAATATACCGTCTGGTAAACTAACATAACCATGGAAAATCACCATTTTTCATAGGTAAATCAACTGTAAATGGCCATTTTCAATAGCTATGTTAGTTTACCAGAGGGTAAGTGGTTGTTTCTGATCTGGGGAAATCAGTGGGAATCATCGGCTTCCTGAATGCGAGAGGTCTTCCAGCTTTGTCATCTCGACTGCCGGATGGTATGTGGCAATTTTCATATGGAATGAAGGGGTTCATCATGTAGGTAAATAACCATATTATAGTTGGAAACACAGTCAAATTCAAATCTGGTCTGCTTGTCTGAATATCTGGGGTAATTGACCATCCACCATCTATGGATATTACCCACAGATTTGGTGATTTAACTTTCAACCGGAAATATAATTTGTATCCAAGCATAAACCAGCAAAAAACATCCCAGTAACCAGCCATGACTGGGGGTCATAATGAATATCATCCCACTATGAGGGGTATACCCAATGCCAAAAAACACTTACATCATTACATCATTAAAAACACTTACATCATTACATCATTACTAACTGTAACCTCATGAATTGCTATCTCCAAGATGTTCCGAAACTGGAAACTAAAGATCCATGTTCATCCATTTTCATGGTTTCAAGGAGATTGAAGTTTTGCTCTACCAAGACCCTCCAAGTATTCAAAAAATTGCAAAAGATCAGAAACAATGGGCATCTTACCCCATTTTGCTTAAAGGTAATTGGAGGTTTTAGGTACTCTGAATAGTTAAAACACTTCCACCAAGGATATTAAATCCGCCCTTGAAGACCTTGTGGTATGAGCTGACTGTACACTGGATCTAGTCAGGTATTAATTGGGGACATGTGATTATAATGTGTTTGCGGAAATGAATTTTGGTCATTTATAATCAATGAGGGATGCCGACCAAACATTTTTATAGGGTACAACTGGTATCTTTGTGTTTGTCTGTCCCTGTCCCTTGTGACTGAAGGGCATTGAAATTCTAGGCCCCAAGTTGGCATCCAGAACCAAGGATGCGGACCCTTGAGCCTGAGAAACCAATCCCTCAGCTGGGTTTTGTCAGTCACTGAAATTTCACCAAGGTTGTTTTCCGCTTAGCAATGGACATCCAATAACGAGCGGGACCCCAGAACAAAGTCCCCAATTCATTGTTCTATTAACCCTCGTTGAAATTTTGAAGTTGCATAGCCCATAGGATCCATGTATGGTATATATGGTAACATTTACCATCAATATATCCCCAATGTTAGCATATATACCATACATGGATCCTATGGGTAGGGTTGAATCCAAGTGTTTCTGGATCAAATTCCAAAAAAATCCGTGGAATGTTTACCCCACCATTTCTTTCGAAACGATCCGGTTTTCTAACGGTGATTTCCGCACGTTCTTTGTTGGTGAAAACAAACAACAAAAAAAACACCAACAAACAACCCCCAACCTTGGCTCCTTCAATACGCAAAAACACACACACACAAACTGTTGGTGTGTCCTTAAACATGTTAAACAACACGTTAACCTCATCTTGTGTTGAAGAAACACATCTACAAACAACATCTTTGGTTTAGAGTTAATCAAACTAATGTTGGTGAAACACTAATAAAGCATCCCCAAATTGACCATAAATAGGTGGTATAAACCATTCCCAAATGGTTGGTTTATTGTTCTTTTAGCCCTGTTCGATTGAGGGTAACCCACCAAACTTGGGGTTACACGAACCATAATGGGGATACTAACAACATTATTATCAATGGCCATTTCAGGAACCTAAATTGGAGGTACCTACCATATATAAGGCCTATATAAGGCCTATGTAAGGGAATATCCCAACAAAATATGGCCTTATATGGTACAGAACCTCCATTTTAGGGTTCTGAAACTCCCATTGATATTATACTGTCCCATCTTTGTTTTAGTATAAATGAAACTCAACTGGTTGGTGGTTTCAACCCCCCTGAAAAATGTGAAAGTCAATTGGAATAAGTATTCCCAATAGAAATGGGAAAATAATCCATTCATGTTCCAAACCACCAACCAGTATATCATCAGTATACCAACCATGGTTCATAGATATTAATGGTGATTAATGGTGATATTAATGGTGATTATTACTGATTATTAATGGTGATTATTACTGGTAAATCAATGAATTGTTGTTGGCACATCACCTTCTCTCCCTGGACCGAACCTGGGACTTCCGGCGCGGCGCACGACGCCGGCAAAGGCGGGCATCCTGAGATGCCGGTGTGGCAAGAAGTCCCCGGAGAAAATTGTGGCACTTATAATGGGAATAGACATAGATATCTTATCTGGAAAATTAAAAATCATATAGATTTTATGTTCTGGAATATTATATATATATATATCTATCTATCTATCTGGAATATATTTGAAAACCATATGAAGAATGGGAATATATATATATATATATGTATATTTACATATATATATATATATATATGGAATGCCGCCGCTGGCAACTGGAATATAGTGGGAATATATACCTGGAAAACCACAATGGGCATATTACTAGTGGTTGGTTCATGGGACGGTGACCATGCATTGGGCTTATCACAATACCAACCAGATGATTATTGGGTTACCCTCTGCTAATCAAACAGGGCAATAGAAGATCCTTTCTTTTATTTATTAATTATTTCCATAGATTTTCCTATTTCTATCTAGTTCTTTTATTTCTTAATTACTTCCATAGATTTTCCTATGTCTATATGATTTCCATAGATTTTCCTGTGATTTCCTATGAAAACACCTCCATTTATCAAGGCCAATCCCTGCTATGGGACACCTGCCCCGATTCCGCAACGGGCGTCTGAAACTGCCGCGCCGACGCCGTGTCGGCCACGTTCGCCGTCCGCAGGGAGGGCCGCGCCGACTTCGGCGCCGACGTCGACGTCGCAGGCCGCGCCGACTTCGAAAGGGACCTGGGCCGCGCGGCGAGGTACTGCGCGGGGTTGGAAAAGTGGGAAAGTGATGCCATGTTTAGGGGTAACCATTGGGCATTAACAGTAATTCACCATTAATTAACATGCATATACATATATATTATAGATGATATAAATGTACCTAAACCATCCAAGTACCTGGAAAACTGGGGTATAACGAAGCTATTATCTTGGAACTTTTACCAATTTTCATAGGTACTTGGAGGGTCTAGGAAAATTGAAATAAGAAGCTACAAGCAAATGGGATTTGTCTCAGGATCAACCATTACATCGGGATATCTAATACACAAATATGTGGGGAATTTGGGAATATAACCACGATACAATATGGATGTATGTGTGTTCTGGAGATTGGGGAGATACCAGCAAAAGTGTGGCTATTCAATCATTGGGAAATGAGGCTTAAATCAACTTAAAATCATTGAATGGAATGGGGTACCCCCTTATAGACAAAGCCACATTGGAGAATGCACATTGTTCCTATAAACGCGTGTCATCATCTTGCTCAGAAAGGATAAGAGCAGTTCATGTTCGGAAACCGTTTTATGAGCAGTTGTTCGTTCAATTACCTGGTTTATCATCCGTTCCCCATGAAGAATTACCACTTTGGATCTACACCCCCTGACGCTTGAAACGCATTATAATATAAATGGTCATCTGGTTGTTCCCCATATTTCAGCAGATTTTCACCACAATATATTCTTGAAAGATGCTCAAACGCTCAAAACTTCCCAAGAGATGATGGTTACATCCTGTGAAATAACATGTTTTCACCATGACCCCATTAAAAAATATATATGTCCTGTTTTTCAGATACTCCTATGTACCTAGACCCTCCACGTATATTGATCTAAAACAATGGGGTCACAAAAATCCATGGGATGTTCACCCATCTTTTTGGGTACTTTGAGGGTCTATCCATGTTAATCCCTCATGAAGTATCCAGTTATATAAGTATCCTATAAAGTATCGCATAAGTATATCTCTATAATATCTCGATTCTGATCATTAAATATCATGAATTCATATATTAATTCTTGGTGAAATTGGGTGAATCTCATCCCCCCCGTTCTGAATATAAAGGGCACCGCTGTCCAAGGCACAAGCTGCCACCAGGCCTCCGTGGCGTCAGCGACGACGCCACGGCCGACGACAGTGCGCCGTTCAGACTGCGGCGCGACGTCAGCGGCTCCCGCGACGTCAGGGCGCCCCCCGTGCGTGGCGCGGCAACGAGGCGGCCGCTGCCACTGGTGCGGGGTGTCATCCTGGGGGGGGTTAAAAGACTGGAAGAATCATGGCTTTATGGTGGGGAAAATTCACCTATAAGTGGTTGGTATTATGATGGACTTCCCTCCGACCGTGCTGAGAAAATGAAAGCCGGGAACATGAACTACGGATCGCTTTATTGGATCTATGGGATTACCTGTGGGAGAATAATTGAAACTAATGAGGATGAATGGGAAAAACGAGGTGCCGCCCCAGGTTCAAGTGCTAAGTTTATTTACAACTAGCTGAAGTTCGATGGGCTTTATGATGGATGTAAGATGATGTAACCAACTTATAACCTGGGGGGCCATATGTTGTGTGATGAGAGAACGATTTATAGAGTCAAACCGGATGTTTGAACTGGGGTGGAGGGGTTCGATCAACCAAAATCATCCCAGAATATTTTGGTAATTTAAGAAAACTGGAAGATCTCAAAAAGGCTAAACATCTGAGTGTATGACTACTAAACCGGATCATCCGGTTTTCATGGGCCATGGAGTTGTCGCTGGTTAGCTTGGATAGCCTGTACTTTCTCGCAGGTTTGTAAATTTCTTCGTGAAAATTGCAAACAAATAGCCCAAATCAGAGCTTATACCACCAGATCACCTAACAAATCATTCACATGTCAAAATCAGATTGTTGAATTCGATATTGTTTGAATGAGTACTACCATCATTCGCTTCTGTCCAAGTACGAGTAGCATGAGTTTGGTTTCTGGATTTCAGAAATCATATCCACGCTTTCCAATGCAAAGTTAAGTGCCTGAAAACAAATGCAGTTTGACTATGTTTGACTAGCAACACATGCTGCTTTAATTACCATACCTTACAGTAACCATCAACAGCCATTACAATACCACATTCAAGGTCAGCAAATCAATCATACCTAAAAATAATATAAAATAATCACAAAACCAACACAAAACCCAAACAAACATTTAAAATACATTTAAGTTATACAACATAAATTATCTGCGTTTCAATTATTCCAATAGTTCTTCAAACGTCAAAGCCTCATCCCATCCAAGTGGCATCAACCCGGCGCTCTTCGAGATCTGTCGGCTGCTAATCTTCACCGGCGTCGTCGGTGTCCCCGGCGTCGCGGCGGGGCGCGACGCGAGCGGCGCAACGGCCGCGACGGGCTTCGGGCTGCTGCTGGGGAAGCTGAGGACGTTGCAGATGTCCAGAAACAGAGCGTCCCTCCTGGGCAATTTTGTTGGGAAACTCATGCCACAATGATGAAAACATATCAACAAATAAGAGAATTTGGAATTCAAGGGATTCGCAGATATGAAATGTGATTGAATTCCAACATTATATATATATATATATATATTATGTATGCTTTTATGTAAGCGCAAATGGCAAATGCTGGACTTTGATGCCGCGCAACAGGGATGAAAAAACACTCCCATCCCTCTCAGTGGGATCAAATCATGATGGATACAGTATATCTGGTTGGTGGTTGAGCCCTACCACTCTGAAAAATCATGGAGTTCGTCACTTGGGATGATCATTCCCAATACATTACATATATATATATAAATATGTATATGTAATTATATATGTATATATATATATATATTATGTGGAAAAATAATCCAAATGTTCCAAAGCACCAACCAGTGAGTTAGCTTCCCAGGGAAGCTGGACATTCCCAAAACCAGCCCAGTCTCAGTCGACTCTGCAGCTTCTCATGGAAGGACTCTTTCAACTCGCTCTCCGCGTCTTGAGCCTGTAGCCCCCCAGTTATAAGCTGGCTTATCAACCCCATTAACTATAGTTACTGTATTATAAGTATCATAAATATGTCATTAGTTATTGGAATTATAAACCGACTTAGCTAATCTTGGCTGTCTAAGCGGCCCGATTCTGTAGATGACAAGTAACATCAAATTATCATGAGATATACTCCATAGTGCTGAACCATTTAGCAACATTTACCCCAACAATCACCGAGTCACGCAAGTAAATACACCATCCTTCCAGCATATCAGATTGGTGGATCAGCACCCATTCAACCATCATATTCCATATATTTTTTGTTCCGTATGTTTTATATATATATATACCCATAGGATCCATGTATGGAATATTTACCTACATTTGGGTGATTTTTAGGGCACATGTTGGTAAATATTCCATACATGGATCCTATGGGATAATATATAAGTCCAAACACGTTCTGAGAAGCTACTTGACCCCCTAAATCATACACCAACAACTTACTAAGAAGCTACGGCTGGATCTACGGGGATATATATATATATATATATACATATGTACTGTGAGGTATATATATATATACACCATAAATCAATAAATCTACCAATGATGGCTATGTAATCTATATGTCCATAGTATTTAACCTTAACCGACATGGCGTGCGCGCTGCCTGCGGGAGGTTCTCGACATTCTTCAGAGCTTGGCACCAATTCTCAAGGCCTCGGTTGGCCCAAAATCATTGGAAAAACGTAAGGAGGGGCTAACAGTTTGATTCGTTTGTTTCATGTTTATTCAACATATATATATAATATATGTGTATATATATAATATATGTGTGTATATATATATATATTCATTGTTGGGTATACCTGGTATCCCTGGCAAACCTTGCTGTCAATGGAACATGTTATCCTGAAAATCACCCATGGACATGTTCAAATTATTCAGGCCAGGTCGGATCCAGTGGCTTTTCAAGGTTCGTAAAGCGTAAGCCATACCGATGACACGGGTGCGTCTATACCAAAGAAATGCTGTTTAGTGAGAAAATGATGATAATCCATGGGAATTCGTCCCATATTTTCAAAGTCACAGAAAAGCATCACTATTGGGAATGATCTTGGGTGACTCGCAATCATTCATCAACACAAACGGAGCCACTTCTGCATATGGTTCTGCATATCCACCTTGGCTCATTCTTTTTGGTCCCAAGAGTTGCGGCCCCAATTTTCCATCGATGACTTTTGATGGTTACCCTCTGGTAATGACTCACATAGCTATTGAGCATGGCCCATAGAAATAGATGATTTACCTATTAAACATGGTAATTTTCAATAGCTATGTTAAATTACCAGAGGCTAAGTTTATACTGAGTTCTGATGCTTAATACCCGTAATCAATCCTAATCAATCCTAATCAATCAATCATAAGGATGATGGACAGTGAACGATAATGATAGTTGATGGTCAATCACCCATGAATAGTCAATACACAACCACTGCTAATGACAAATTATCATTAGCATTGGGGTATAATTTCATGATAATGATTCTCAAATATATTATACACAACCAATATAGTACGAATATGTATCAATAATTTACCAATAAATCAATATATATATACCAATAACTAATACCAATTATACATCAACTTCATAGATGATAATACCAATAACAAACTAATGATGAAATCATTTTGGAGCAGCTATATATATATACATATATACAAATCATTACTACCAATAACTATCAATAAGGAACTATTCATTACTACTACTACTACTGCTACTACTACTACTACTACTACTACCAATAACTAATTGTCACATCATATATTATACCAATAAACTACTAATAGTGTGGTTAATAATAGACCATCCCCCAGTCATCACCATAAAAGTCCATAAATAGGTGCCATGGTTACCATTCCCAGTCATGGCTGGTTTATGGCACTGTTTTACCAACATTATACCCTGTTGGTGGTTTCAACCCCTCTGAAAAATATGAAAGCCAGTTGGTACTATTATTCCAAATATACACATATATAATCATATATAATCATATATAATCATATATAATCATATATATATATATGGAAACATAAAACACATGTTCCAAACCACCAACCAAATACCCAAGAAAAATCCGAGCAGCTCAACAGAACTTCCGCACGCCTCAGGGCGAGTTCCTGAAAGAAGAAAACGAGGACATCGATCACAGAAAAACCAGGGATTTACCATGGAGAATCCGGTTTCACCAGTGTTTTAAGCAACAACAAAAAACCATGTTACCATCTGGTTATGACTGACAGTTCGCCAAGGTATAGATGGCCCATAGAAATAGATGATTTTCCCATTAAAACCTCCATTGATGGTTGGGATTTTCCATGGCGAACTGTGAATGTCATAACCAGAGGGTAAGCAGGATTTGAGCAAAACACAGGATGGTGGATATCATGCTGCTGGTTTTTTAGCGAGGATGGAGAATGGATCTTGAATATCAAGAAGGGAAAACATGGTTTCACCATGGGTTTCACCATGCTTCACCAACGTGAAGTCGGGATATGCTTACGAGACGCTTTTTCTCCCGGAAGTATCCAGAAGTGATATATTCAACTCATTCTTTACGTCCAAAACGCATGTAGAATGTAGACTGCGAATGATTAAATCCACAACACAGAGTCTTTGCAGCTGAGATCTTGACTTAACTCATTTACGGCAGGTTTACACACCATCATCGACCAGAGTCCTATACCCAGCCAAGGTTTACCCAGTGAAGTGGTGACCCGGTGACACAGTCATGCATCAAATGTGGATATATCACGGTTCTGGATTTACCCAGTCCTATCCCCATAAAATATGACTATATATCCGATGTTAATCGATTTCATTGGTAACATATCCCGATCATATCCCATAATTGACAGAGTATAACACGATGTCCCCCAACCAAAATCACTAACATATCCCATATTTCCCATAATTTTCAGAGTATGACTGAGTATGACACTATGTCCCCCAACACTATACTTATTATCCCCCAAAAAAACACATATTCCGATCGAAAAAAAACAAAAAAACAAACAAACCTGGATTTTAACCCAGCCTTCACTGCCTCGGGTTGCTCCCTTGGTTCCAAGCCTAGCGGGAGATCGGAAAAAATCCTGCAATGGGAAGGGTTTATGGTGCATAATGGTTGTTAATAGTTGTTGATGGTTGTTGATAGTGGTTACATCCCCCATATTTTGGTGGTTGTACATATTAGAGTAATTTGTAAGCAACTGAAACTGCCGGATTCTGATTAAGAGCTATAGGAACGGACAGGAATAAAATCATGTCGTAAGTCTTTCAAAAAAGTGAAGGTATCCAAAGGTGAAGAGTTTCGAGCACAGTTTCAGCGATCTGTTTAAGCTGACATGGCTTCCTCAGCTATCCAGGGGATCTTCTCTGGGGGATCTTAACCTGAATCAAGACGGACATGGATTGACTGGTCACCTGCAGATTGATAAGGCGAAAAGTCATCCCAACAAAGCTCCTCGGTTGGTGGATAGGAGTTCCCCAAAATGATCAAAATGTATGTCACATAGTCACCATTAGACCATTTTAGACCATATTAATTAGTTGTCGATATCATAAGATTCAATCATCAACTTCGAGGTATCTTGGGCATCGCTCAGTTGACAAGACACACACCTCATCGACAGGCCTTCCGTCATGGACTTCTCGTTGTAACCTCCTGGCAATTCCTCCAAGACCATGGCACGGCGTTTGCTGTCGCCAATGGAACTGTTGCACTTCTCTTATGTTTCCACATAGCTAAACTGAACTGAGCTACCTCACAGAAACGTGTTTAGTGGGGTCCACTCCAAATCATCAAAATGGTTCAAGACTCGACAGATTTAGATATGTTGGTACAATATCTAAGCAAGAACCCATCAACCTATACCAAACCAAGGTGGAACATGATAACTTCGCTATCGGACTATCGGCCCCGATGCAGAATTGACATTCATCTGCTGCTGAGAACCATAGCAGAACTGGTGTCATCATCTAACACTGCGGTTTTCACGTGAAAAAAGTGGAGATCTTTGCAGCAACAAGTCCTCCCAGCTAGCGATTTGGGCTTCTTCAAAATGTGCTGCTGTGACCATAGAAAATGATGAATTCACCAACAACTATGGGAACTTTTGGTCCTCCAAAAAGCTGAAAAAAAAAACTTCGAAAAACACAAGGGATTCCAAAGCGACACTTCCATGGGCAGATGGTTCCATGCTGATCCCATTCAGATGGAAGTTTCCTGAAATGGGGGTACCCCTAGATATCCCATTTGATCATCTATTTTAATGGCATTTTCCATTGTAAACCATCCATTTGGGGCTACCCCTATTTTAGGACACCTCCAGATGAATTTCCTAGTGATAAATCAAATCCTAGTCGTTCCGTGACAGCGCCCAATTTTACCCCTCCTCAAGCACATTTGGTTGAGCATGTGACTGGCATGGTTTTCTTGGTTCCAACAATTGCAAACAGAAATGGATTTGTCTGAAAATAAGGTGCTCCATTCCATCCAATTAATCACATTTAATAAACATGTTCCCAATTAAGCATGAACTTAATTACGTGGAGGGCCACTTAACCACTCTCAACCACAACCAAATCATACTAAGTTGGTTATAAATCCATAGAAACCCCATTCATGTCCATCAAAATTCCATTAAATCTCCGTTTTCTTAAGTTAAGTCCCCTTGAATTTCCATTAACTCCCGTTCAATTCCGTCAAACATCTCACTTTTCTTGTGAAGTTCCGTCGCTCGATTAGCGACGGGGCCTTCTGTTCGTGCTTGTGGCCCGTGACGATGAGGTCAATGCCGGCCTCCCGAGCGATGTCCTGTGCCGGGACGGTGACTCTGGGGCTGTCTTAATGGCTGGGATATGGGAATCGCCCATCATTTCTGGGGAATCCCCTTACAAGACTTATATCGGAGTCCCATATGGATCCCATGGCATTTCTGGGGACTCCATTATTGTGCTGGGATGGTGACTCTGGGATATAGGAAGGAATGATGGGAATTTCAGGATCCTAAAATGGTACGTTAGTACCATATAAGACTCATATTTCTGGCCATGTTTTGCTGGGATATTCCCTGAAATTTAGGCCTGAAAATTTGACCTTATATATGGTAGGTACCTCCAATTTAGGTTCCTGAAATTGCCATTGATATAGTGATGGTATGTATAATCTAATGTATAATAATGGATGGTATATGTAATATAATAATCGTGATGTAATGTATAAGAGTGGTTATTGTATGGTTACCATAATAATGGATGGTATGTATAATATAAATATATTACTGTATGGTGATTGCTATTATAGTGGTGGTATACGTGATGGTGTATATACTATTCGTGTATATAGTGTATATATTCGTGTATATAATGTATATGTATATATCGTGATAATGGTAATAGTAATAATGATATCCTCTTCCTCCCTGCTTATCCCTGTTCTTTTCTCCCTCCCTCCTTCCTTCCTTCCTTCCTTCCTTCCTTTAGCATGCGATACCAAAAAAAACACGAAACAAACGCATGCTTCGGGAGTGGCATTTCCTATTGACACAAGATGAATAAAACGAGTCGCCCGTCACTGGGAAGCTTCTCATCCAAAATCCAAACTTAATTCTGGCAAAGTAAGACGACTATGACAGGATCACTTCGGTTTTCTACCAACTTCAATACAAAAAACTGAACGCCACAAAGCTAAACTAAAAGGCAACGACCTTCGCACCCGGCACTAACGCACATTTTTTCGGGGCTGGTCACCACACAATATGTGTGAACGAACAAGTGTCAAAACCGCATACAAACCACAGTGTAACCCAAACTAGCACCGCCTTCCCGAACATGCATATCCCGCCGGTACCAACGTTTTCTTGTCAAGGAACAAAAAACCGCCTTCCACATCTACATGTATCTAATCATTATGCTAATACTGGTTGGTTTATTAAAAAAATGGCTCCCGTAACGGGTTATATATATAGTTGTGCTTTACAACATTTACAGCAACTATGTTGATATCACACCTGTAGTAATCATAATAATCATCTACCAATCTACAAATATAGTAATCATCTTTTCTTGACTACTATTAAGCTAATATAGATCACCGTAATCATCAGCAGTTCGTATGTGTGCTGCTTCTCATAGTCTTGGTCCCTTGTGATCAAACTAGATAAGGGGCTTTCCATAGTGGGGCTATCCCCCATAGCTGCTTTATGTCATGGAAAATGCAATCTAGAAATCGATGATGATAATTTAGGGCTACCCCCATGACGAAACGGAAACCAGATTCCTCTGATATAACTTTGAGATCATAGTTCATGATAGGAAAGTCTTTGCCGACATCAAGTAGGGCTTTTTGAGCTCTTCGCTCAGGTTGGGATTGGCCAAGAGCGCTGCAACAGCGTTCACCGATCTATTGGCTGCTCGAAAAGAATCGACGTTCCCTTCGAAATCAGCTGTCAAATTTGATCCACGATGTCCGAAGGGCGCTCCTCCTCTGCAGCCTCAGACAGAAGTGCCAGAATTTGGTCCCAAAATTTGTCGTACAAAAGCGCTTTCGTCGACAGTCCCATGGACTTAGAAACGTCGAGAAGTGTCTTTTCGTTGTTCATGGTTTGACTTCATCACTTGGTTTCAAACGCCCAGCAGCAGCCATGGAGACTCGACTCAAGCGGAGGATTGCATCAACAAGGCTGACAGTAAGCCATGGAGACAAGCAGTGAATCAAGCAATGAAGCAGTGAAAATGGCCCATAGAAATAGTGGATTTTCCCATTGAAAATTGTGATTTTCCACAGTTTTTTGTATGTTTACCAGAGGGTAATTTAGCTACTTGTTCATCTTGTTCCAACTACGAGTTGGTGCACAATTGCTCTTGGGTCTTGGGTGGCTAACCTTTTTGATGGCATTTCAGAACTGCCCAGACTCGCTTCCACCCCATTGAGCTTAGATATCCAGAAAACTATTCTTTGCAGCGTCTATTATAGCAAAACCCAAAAGCTTGCACAGTAATTTGCAGTGTGTTTTTTTTTGTATTTTGTTGTGTTTTTATATATGTTCCACGAAAATGCAAAAACAAACGTTGACTTGGGGGCGAAACCGGTCCCAGCCCCCGCGAAAAAGGTTGCTTTGACCCGTCGTCGGTCCGTCCAATGCAAGACACTCTCACCACGGCCTGGGGTGTAGCCTGGGAAGTCAGGTAGTGGGTATACCTAGACCCTCCAAGTACCTTGAAAAATCGGGCAACCAAAAGAAAATATTGTTTTGGGATTTTTACGAAATGAAAATTGGTACTAAATTATTTACTGAGCATAGGGGCACAATTCAATAGGGATACTATTTAATAATTTTCTGATGTCAGAGTATCATTCAAAAACATTCCAAAAACTTCATATAAGCTCTGGTATGAGTTCGGCATGTTTTGGATTTTATTGAAATGATTTGGGACATTTTGGATTTTTTTCGAAGTGTTGATTTTGTTTTTTGGAATGAATTGTTTTTCTTTTGGAATGATTTGGAATGTTTGGGATTTTTTGGGAATGAATTGTTTTTTTTGAATGATTTGGACTTGTTTAGAATGATTTTTTTTTTTTTGAATTATTTTTTTTGGAATGATTTGTTTTTTGGGGAATTATTTGTAATGATTTAGATTTTGGTACTTTTGGGCTAGTGTTTCTCTGGATTTTTCCGGACTGTTTCGTTTTTGGACTGATTTTTTTGTTTTTTGTTTTTGAAAGTTTTTGAATGTTTCGGAAGTTTGTTGGGCCTGTTTTGGGGTGTGTTTTGGAAGTTTTCCCAAGTTTCAAGATGTTAAGGTAACCTCAATAGTAACCCTATTCAATAACCCTGTGGTATTGAATAATAAATTGGTAAAAATCCCAACATAATGGGTATATTGCATCATTAAAGGTACTTGGAAGGTCTAGGGATGTCTAGGGATATAAAAGGGATTTACCATGATTTACCACCAACAAACTGGTAGTTAAATTAATTCACAATAATGGGCATATAGTGTGATAAATAACCAAACAATGATTTTGTTCGGTCCGTCAGAAAATGGGCTAAGCCCCCCCCCAAAAATGATCATAAACAATGTTGATAAACCAATGCATTCATGAGTCCCCTATTTTCAAACGATGTGGTAAAGCAAATAAACATCCATGTTGGGAACAGTTGCGATCCCACCCACTTCTGTCTGGTAGCATTGGGGGATCGTTTATTCGTTCTGTTGTTGATACTGTTGGGTTTACCATATACCATATTATTGAAGAAAAACTATACCAGGATATACCAGGTAAGTGGTTGCTAAAAAAAAAATGATATTACCCACTGGTAATTTGTTACATAGGCTGCTATTGAAAATCACCATGTTTAAGTTCGGCAAATCATCGCACTAAATGGGCCATGTTCCCACTTGGCAACGTATGATGTCCTGGCTGACCTATCGTACTGCGTTTTGAGATGTTTTGAGAGGGGAATGGTTAACAAACTACAAACATCATATTATATATACAGCATATATACAGCATATATACAGCATATATCAAGATTGGTTCACTGTATACACTATTTTGTTTGTGTAGTTTGTCAAGGACTAATGTTGAAACTCTCATAATTTCACCTTCTTTCACCTGTCCAGCTGTCACGGCAATCTCTAGATCTCTATATCTATCTATTGGTGCTGATAGAAATTAGCTATAATGTGTATAAATATATATATAT